AATGTACTTAATTTGATTACTTCTAGCACAAATATACAAAAACCTTAGATATATGGGGCTACACCACCAATAAGAGGAAGTTAGTATATTAAAAGAACTCATTTAATTTATCACTCTTTAAAAATGCACTAAGATGCATCCAAACTATCAGCATGAGGCCTTTAAATCTATATTTGGCATCATAGCTGCCTTATGAATACCTAATGCTTTTTTAAATAGCTAATGAATAAAAAAGTAAAAATATCTTGAAAAAAAAGTACAAATGGTCGTATTAAATGATTTAATTGATAAAAATGCAAATATGTACATGAAAGGATAGTTAATTTATCCAAAAGAGTAATATATATAAGCAAACTCATCACATTTTACACCGAATTCGCTCAATTTAGAATTATCAGAAAAAGAAGCTAGGGCTTAGTAGCTTGTTCTCTCATTGCGAACACAGTGCCAGAAGGCAAAACCGAGAAAATGGAAAAGGCACGCGCATAATTACCGGAAAAACAGACTGGCTTTATGTAGGAAAAAAGCGAGTTGGACGTAAAAAAAAAGAGAGCGACTATAAAGATACAGTAAAATTAGAAATATGGCCTGGCCTTGTGTGGTGAATGCGTAGCTGGGACTCATTAGGATGAAGACTAACGTATTGTTATCATGGGCATCATGATGTGAGTAGCCAAATCCAAAAGTATAACAAGTAATTTATAAAAAGAAGCTGAATTTAGCTGTTGTGAAAGCTACAATCTATTTCAGTTCAGAAGTGTGAGGCAGCCCAAGATGGACATCAGCGACATATACATGCGTGAGATAAAAAAGATCAGCAAGATATATAGAAAAAGAAGAAACTCAAAAGAATTAGAAAACAAGTAGACGAAAAATTAGTAGAAAAAAGACGATTAAATGTAGAAATAAACATATACATAGGGAAGTTGATATACTATTTAATGCCAGATACTTTAGTTCAGTGTCCTATTGTGCCTATTCATAGCATAAGAAGGACAAGAGCAATGACGCGGAATTCTAGAAGGGACGCCTTGAGGTCATACGGATTCCAATCGAGGATGCCAGTCTTTCAAAGCAAATGCATAAAAATGCAACCAATGAGTACTAAAGAGCTCCAAACATTGCTAGAATTTACAATTTATCACTATTCCTCGACAGTGGGTAGCCAGAACGAGGT